CTGTGCGCAAACTCTCACCCTTAAGCTGCTGGCTCTTTGCAGCTTCTCAAGGTACCCGTGTGTTGCCTGGGTTTCCCCTCTCTTGCCACGCAGACTAGCAAGAGTTCTGCTCTCAATGGGAATTAGAGCCAGACTACCTTCTGTGGTTTAACAGCCAGGCTTTTAATAGGTTTTTAGTAGGCCTTTTGATCACATGGCTTTCACCTTGCCAGAGTTTTCTTATTAGTCCAGTACTCGGCCTGCTCTCAGGTAACACAGCTTAAACACTGAGCTGCAGTCCCTGCTGCACTTTAGCATCTTGTAGTTTTCCTTGGCTGCTTGCTGTTCTGCAGCTGGCCTTTGCTCTGCTGCTTACCTAATTGCAGTCCTTCAGTTTCATAGTTTCATAATTGGTAGGGTCGGAAGGGACCTGAGCAGATCATCAAGTCCGACCCCCTGCCATGGCAGGGAATGATGCTGGGGTCAAACAACCCCGGCTAGGTGTCTTATCCAGCCTCCTTTTAAAGACCCCCAGGGTAGAAGCAAGCACCGCTTCCCTTGGCAGTTGGTTCCAGATCCTAGCCGCCCTGACTGTGAAGTAGTGCCTCCTGATATCTACTCTCAGTCAACTTTATGGCCGTTATTCCTCGTTACTCCCAGTAGTGTTTGGGGGAACAGGGACTCTCCCATTGCCTGCTGGTCTCCCTTGGCCAGTTTATAGACGGCCACCAGATCCCCTCTCAGCCTTCTCTTGTGGAGGCTGAACAGGTTAAGGTCTCGTAGACTCCCCTAGTAGGGCCTGCCCTGATGACCCCTGATCATGTGAGTGGCCCTCCTCTGGACCCTCTCGATGCTGTCCACATCCCTCCTGAAGTGTGACGCCCAGAACTGGATGCAGTACTCCAGCTGCGGTCTGACCAATGTCACATAGAGGGGGAGGATCACCGCCTTGGACCTGCTCATGATGAATCTGTGGATGCATGACAAGTTGTGGTTAGCCTTCCTGACTACATCCCCACATTGGCAGCCCATGTTCATCTTGAAGTCTATAAGATCCTTTTCTGCCTCTGTGCTGACAACAAGGGAGTTCCCCAGCCTGTAGGTATGCTGTTGGTTCTTTCTCCCCAGGTGCAGCACCTTGCACTTGTCAGTACTGAATCCCATCTTATTCTCATCCGCCCACCCTGTAACCTGTCCAGATCCAATTGCAGCCTGTCCCTCCCTTCTAACATGCCCATTTCTCCCCGCATCTTAGTGTCATCCGCGAATTTGAACAAGGTGCTTTTCACCCCCTTGTCCAAGTCGCTGATGAAGATATTGAACAGTGCAGGCCCGAGGACCGAGCCCTGGGGGACCCCACTGCCCACATTCCTCCAGGTTGAAAATGACCCAACCTACCTCCCTGACTCCCTCCATCTAAGGGGCTCTGCTGACTGGGCTCTGGTCATGCCTCTGCTCTGCTACTGGAGCGACAAGGAGTTAGGGCCCTTGATGGGGACAGCAGCCCCTGACATGGTGTCTGGGGAGTCTAAGCACAACCTCCCCTGCTGGCCCTTTGCAGATGTGTACCTGGATAATTTTCTCAAACAGCTTCCCCAGGACCAAGGTAAGACTAACAGGCTTATAATTTCCTGAGTTCTCCTTCCTCCCTTTTTTGAAAATGGGAACCACATTGGCCCTTTTCCAGTCCTCTGGCACCTTGCCAGAGCACCATGAGCGCTTGTAAAGCTGTGCCAGGGGTCCCGCAATGACCTCTGCTAATTCCCTCAGCGCTCTGGGGTGGAGATCGTCCGGACCTGCTGATTTGAACACATCCAGTCCCACCAGAAGTTCCCTGACAAGATCCTCTCTGACCCTGGGCCTGGCTGCACCTCCCCTGGGACCATCGGGGATCCCGGTGGGGGAATGACCTGGTCCCTGCTCAGAAAAATGGAGGCAAAGAAATTGTTAAATAGGTTAGCTTTGTCGTCTGGTGAGACCACCAGATTTCCAAGTGTGACCTGCAGAGACCCCACATTACCTGGAACCTTCTTTTTACACCCTATGTATTTAAAAAGGACTTCTTGTTATCCTTGATCCGGGTGGATAGTTCCAGTTCCATCTCCGCCTTGGCCTTCCTAACAGCCCCCCTACAATCCCGAGCCACGGAGGTATAGTCCTCCCTGGTGATGGCCCCTCCCTTCTATTGGGTGTATGCCTCCTTTTTAGTTTTTTAGCCAGCTCAATGCTGGCTTCCAATCCTTCAAGTAGCAGGGATTAAGGGACCCTGCTACACAATACTACCCAAAAGGTTAACATATACAAATGCAAAACTATTCACGTATCAGCCTCAATTGGAAGATTTTTTTTAAAACTGGAAAAAATCAGAAAATACTAGAACTCCAAATAATAGGAATCAAAAGTCTTTAACAAATTCCTTACAAAAAGGGTCTGCTTCTGTGACAGGCTATCTGGTAATGATTTGGCCCAGGGGTTTTGAAAGGGTAAAAGATGATTGGAGGGCTTGGGATTCCCTTTCCTCACCAATCAGGCCACAGGGACTCACCCTCCATATCCCCTGATTGGTCCCTTGGGTCACCCAGAGGGGGATAAAAGGAGCAGCACAGCTGACTCAGAGGAGACCAGCGATGGACCACGAGGAAGGCGTTTCAAAGAGCTGGCAAGAGCTGGGCCAGTGGGGCGGGAGCAGTTGCCCCAGAAGCAACTGAAGGAGTGGGACCTGCAGGCAGCAGTGGGACCCTCAGCAGCATGGCATGTGGCCAGCAAGAGAGGCTCCCCACTGAGCTCCAGGATCCCTCTCCGAGAGGCTGCAGCCTGCAGGAGAGGTTCCCCAGATCCATCAAGAAGCAGAGCAGTGACCCAAGAGGTTCCCAGCTCTGCTTCCTGCTCCTCCAGCAAGAGGCTAGGAAGCTCAACATGAGGCAGGGGGTCCTGGAAGGTCAAAACCCCCAGCAGCTTAGAGCTGTATCAGCACTGGTGGCTGTGTGGTAGGGTTTCTACCTACCACATGAGAGAGTTGTGTTCCAGTCCCAGCTGGGTTAAATCAGGGTGAGTGAAGTTACAGGGAGAAATTCTTGTTGCAGTGGAAGGGTGTCATTGGGTTTTCCTTCTTTCCCCGCTCCAGGTACCTAGGCCCTATATTTCTTGTTATTTGACATTTTGTATTTTGTGCATTTTATATTTTGCCAACCAGTATTGTTCGTTGTGCTTTTTGTGTTTTATATTTTGTTAAACCTGTCTTTTGTCAACTGGATGAATATGTGTACGAATGTAAATGCCTAACCTTTATTGAATTCTGCCCCCTCATGGCATTGTAGTGTCCCCAGTACCCCCTAGTTTATACATGTTATATTCCCACTACTGTTTTTCTCATTAAAAGGTAAATGGTCAACTCCCCATTGATGGTCTGGCTCTGCTCTATAGGGGAAGAAAGGTCCCTATACCTCCCACAGCGCTTGTGCACCTACTCTGATCCCTTCAATTGGAGAGGGGGTACATCTTGGAGTACCGCCCAGGTTACACTTCTCAGTTATGATCTAGATTTACTTAGTACAGGGCTGGAGGGAAGGAACAGAAATGGCTCCCTGACCTCCATACCTCAATATTTAGGCCAGTTGGGTCCTACTCAATTCCAGGGCTAAGTAAGAGCAGCTTCAGGGCAATTTTCATTTCTACTTAGCTGTGCACAGTTCCAGCCAAAGTGAATGCCTTTTCCCCTTGCCCCAAAGTAGCTAATATTCTTAAGCCATAGAACTGTTATATCTTCCCTACCCTCTAATAAATCCACCCATCCTGGAGATATTCTGTAGGGCCTGGAGGTTCCTGACTTTATGCTGGATTACAGGGGGCTGTAGTATGACTGGCAGTCAGGGCCAGAGACTTGTTTCCAGATACTGAAATATCGTAACGATGGGCACATGAAGATACGCACACTGTAAAATTTTCATTAGCCTTCAACTACCTACCATTTTGACTATGGTATCCACAAGTGATAACATTGCCTTATATCAGCATAGACAGTATAACTCATTTGAATTTACATCTTTTCCTTTTTAAGACTGTAGTATGGTAAGTAATTGCAAATATATCAAGCAGGTTAACTTCAGTGGAACAACTTTTAAGAGGAATAGTGCAAGTCAGCAAAGTTGCTTTCACTAAAATAGTCTGCCAGGAACATATTTTTAACTTGCTCATTACTGAAGCAGTGTTTCCTCTGAAGACAGTTAAGTCAGAAGGAATTTTGCCTGAGTCAATATTGAGTCAAAAAAGAGGAAAGACTTCAGTTTTACCTGACTAAGGACAGAGCAGTTGCACCTGCTCATCCAGCTTTCACCCATCTGCAGTATGTGCTAAAAAAAAAGTTTGTAAACTATAACTAAACTAATGCAATATTGTGATGGAAATCTTAAAAGAATCAATAAAGCCATATTTCTGTTTCTTTGATATCTATAATGTTGATATTTTGCGCACGCATTATCAAAGCATATAGTAAATATAGACACCACATACAGGGACACAAAATAACATACGTGGTCAAGGGGGAGTTACAGTTGCTGGGGAAACCATAAATTATCCATAACTTTGAATTTCCTAACTTGTGTGTACACAAAATACCAGCCAGAATGCTTCATCAATGTAGTGTTTTGCATTTAATAGCTGTCTGGGAAATCACCACTGATTGCAGTTCCCATGACAACTACAGAATTGTGACACATTTGCAGGCAGGTGATGTCATAAAATGCCTGCTGGAACTCAACCAAAGCATCTGCAGTTTGTTTTTAAAGCAACTTCTGGCCAGAGCGCTTGCAAGACAATTTTTTCCCCACGAGTGCAAACAATCAGAAGTTGTACTCGTATGCTAATATGGTTTAAAGTTTTAAGATGTCTTTGTGCAGTCGCTTTTTGGAAGATGCCAGGCGAGATCTGAGGAAGGCAGACAGAGAAATGAAGAGACAGATGAGACTGATGGATCTGCATTCACGTTACCTGTGTACCTACATACATCCTCACTGCCTGTGCAGTGTACACCTACATCCTCATTGCCTCTGTGAATTACATCCGTACCCCCACAGCCTGTGTGACTGGAACTGTCGACCATCATGCCTCACAGTTTGGGAGAGAAGGGCCATTAAAGCAAAACTAGAGGCAGAGCGAGAACTGGCCAGGTAACTGAGCTGCTGAGTAGCCTTTAAACAGGATTGTGGGGAAAAAAATTGACAGCTAAATTCTGAGTCAGGATGGATTTGGATAAATATAACATTAGCGGTGTAATAACTAGAATAATAGAGATCAGCTGAGAAATGAGTAGGAACTGTAAAGTTGGAAAACCACTGTAAGGACATGGTCTAGAAAGTACGGTGAGAATTATCCCAGCAACACCTGTAAGTTAAATATCATACATCCAACTAGGGAAA